AACTATCAAGCCTACTTCCGTGGAATCAAGCGAATAAGGGACATTAAACACCATGCCTAGATTCCTAATTATTCAATCATCTACTTCCGTGATGATCTTCAAACCCTTAATTGAAATAACCTAATCCCGTTAATACCCAACTTCCGTTGCAATAAGAACAAAGGGATGATAACAATACTAATTATCCCTAATCTAGTATTGGCATAAACACAATCAATTAAGCATGTCAATTGGGATTATTATTGGGGAATTTAAAGATCTACTTTATACATCAATCATAATCGGGCTTAGCAAGATCCCGGATTAAGGAAACTACTCACAAATCATAATTAAATCAAAAACAAGATCTAATAGAGAACACATAATTAAAGAACTATAAAATAAATAAAAGAGATGGAAAGTAAGAAATACCAAATACTTCAATTGATGATCTTGAATTCTTGAGGAACAATTAATAAAACTAGGATTAAAGATTGAAATTGCTTAAGAAAATAAAACTAGGGTTCTTGAGAGTTTTCTAGGGCTTAAGGAGAAAACTAATGAAAAACTAACTGTCTAAAAGTTAATTACAAAAGGGTATTTATACCCCCAAAAGATAATATTTCGGAAAAATAAGAAAATACGCGTTCTTGAGCTTTGCCCGGTCTGACCGGGCGGACCTCGCCCGATCGGGCGGAGGAAGGCTGCGTAAAATACGACAGTTTTCCTTCTTTGCCCGGTCTGACCGGGCGAACCTCGCCCGGTCGGGCGCGCGTAACACGTTTCCAAAATTGCATCTCATAACTTGATTTCTTCATCGCCCGGTCTGACCGGGCGAAGCCTGCCCGATCGGGCATTCCACATAAATTTCAGTTCTTGGCTATCAACTCTTCCGAATCTACTAAAAACACGTCCAATTGCCTAGAAACGCTTCATATTCCTGAAAAGCTTACTAAAACAATCGAATACACTAAAGAAGAGATTGTTAGCAAGAAATAGCTCCGTAGAGCTCAAAACCATACAAAATCATGCAATAAAACCGGGGAAAACCATTGTATAAAACACGTATATCAAAGCGCAGTCCAGCTTTGATGGCCGCCACATAGCAGCCAAAGCAGCTGTCACCATAGCTGGTACCAGCCGGCCAGACGACAGTATCTTCTGGATCCGGCACAAACAGTAAATACTCCGGGCCCATTTTGTGGTTAGCAATAAAGCTCACCACGTTGTCTCGCATGGTTATCCGGCCTCGGGGTACCCTGCAGTAGTAGGGGGCGTTTTCCTCTCTGTAAGAGGCGGACGGCTCTGCCCAATTATCCCCCTTCTCAACTGCATGAGAACGTCTCGCCTCTTGTAGGCGGCTATGTTTTTCTTCTGAGCCAGAAGAACTGTGGCCAGAAGAGCTGGATTCGGACTCGTCCCCTGACGAGTCCGAAGAGGACGACTCCTCCCCTCTCCTAGAGGGGCCCGCCTCCTCTCCCTTAGAAGGAGCAGAAGGAAAATTAGACATGTCCACGGTAAGATGGGAAGGGAACACCTTGGTCCCTCTCTCAGAACTGTCAGCTTGACAGTCGCCTCGTTCTACATCTGGCGCCTGGTCAGATGTTTCACTAAGGAGCACCCTTTGGGAGGAGCCGTCTGAGTTTGATATCATAGCAGTCTTTTTTGTTCTGGCCATCACGTTCTGCATAGACACAGATACAGTCGGACTTTGTATAAAGGGCAAAGATGGGTCCAGAAAAGGGCAGGCGGCACTCCTAGTCCTAGATTCAGCCGTCCCCGGTGACCGGCTGATCACTAACTTAGGGCGTGTCGTGTGCTTCCATGGTGCCATTTCAAAAAATAAAAAGAAAATTAAGAGTAAGAGAACTGAGTTACCTGAACGAGTGACGGTTGATGAAGTCCTGAAAGTTCGGGTCAGTCGGCTTGTCAGAACAGGCGGTAGGCAGAAAAAGTCCGAAATGTCAGAGCAGGTTCAGGGGTCCGAATGTTCTCGCAAAAGTTCTCAAATGTGAAAATGACCGAAGTCAGCACTTCCTTTTATAGGCAAAGTGAGAAGGCGAAGGGTCGCTTCCAAATTCAAAATTTGGGCGGGAAAATCTCTCGGCCGTCTGCAAGGTGACACCTGTAACAGGCCGTCGCCTGTCACCGTGCGACACCTGTCACAGGCGACACGTGACCAGTCGCGTGCCACCTGTGAGGGGCAAATGATTAGGGGATTTTTATCCACCAATCACCGTCTGACAAGTGGACCAACCAGGTTCCGCCACGTGTTCTTCACGAAGGCCAACAGGAACCTGCCACGTGTCAATCACAGATACGTCCTCCACGGACCACTAAAGACACGCCACGTGTCCGCCCATACCAAATGGGAAAACCGGCCATCAAGGCCCAATTCAGTCTAGAGGCCCGGTCAGCCCTAGGTTTACCTTAAACCTAGAGAGTTGCACGCTTCCCAAGGCTATAAATACTCGATTAATCCTCATTAATCAGGGGACCGAATAATTAAGAGATCAAGCAGAGAAGAACAGAGTTATTAACAGCCGGCTAATCTCGCTAACCACGCAGATTACCAACACTAAGCACTCTCACCTAGAGAGATCTCATTACTTTAATTTCTGTATTGATTACTCCTTAATCGGGTACTAACTTGACCGTTGGAGGCGGAGCTCTCAGGAGTCTCCGTTATTTTGCAGGTACAGGCGTCCGGTTCCAGTCTCGGAATTGTAACTCTCCCGCAGGACATCAGAAAACCCCGAAACACCACCTATAGAATAAGATAGACTGATCATTCTCTCCCTAATTTCTCCTTTTTCTCTTTAATTTTATAACAGAGGGAGTAATACGAAAATGGAAACCGTGACTTAAAAAAAATGGCATACGGATTAATAAAGATAGAAAGTACGGATATTTCCAAAAAACAAAAAAAAAAACAAAAAAAAAGGTACGGATATTTCAAGGGCCTGCATGCACAGTGCATAGTTGCATACTCACTTTCTCGTGAAGCTTTAGCAAAGGGGAAACAAGGTCTTTCAAAAAGTTCAAGATTCGCTTTCCAATACAAGGAAATTTTGCTAATTCATGTTCTTTGCCATCGCCTTTTTACTTTCTCCACACCCTAGAGTGCTAAAGAAGGATATCTTATCAATTGAATTTAAACAAACCTATTACGGAGTATATATTAGTCAGGCCATATTATCTTCAGCTTATATATATGCACCAAAAAAAAAAAAAAAAAAAAAAAAATCTTCAGCTTATACGAAATACTCTTAGATACTCCGTATAAATTTAAGTTTAACAAAAATGATTTTAATTGGAAAAAAGTTTAAGGGCCTATTCTCATAGACTGAACTCAGTTGAATTGAACTGAGCTGAACTCAACTGAGCTGAAATGAATATTTTATAAGAAAAGAAAATTAGGAGCTGAACTGAACTGAAAATAAACGTATGAGAATAGACCCTAAGTTTAGGGGAAAAAAAAATCATTTAAGAGTGAGGATAGCTCAAGTGGTTAGAGCTCCCCTCCCGCTTTCAGGAGATCGAGATCATGAGATCGATTCTCACCTCCGCCTTTTGTGGCTCTTTAATCACCAAAAAAAAAATCAATTATTAGTTAATATTGATAATTTTAGATAACAATAAAATACGCAATAGAAAATAAGGAAAAAATAATTTTTAATCAGCAAAAAATAATTAATTTTTGTTAAAAAATTATCTCAACCAAAAGTTTAAACTGATGATTGAGATTTGAAAATATGTTTTATACTCTATCAATTGTTAATTGATTTAAAAGAACCGTACAACATTTAACAAAATAGATCTACTTGGCCCCAATGATGATCTATTTGTTATTTGTAGCATGTAAAATCTTGTATTGTAGTTGTGGTTGTGTCGACATGATGCCCCAAGACAACAACCAAAAATTTAAACTGATGACTGAGACTTGAAAATATGTTTTTATACTCTATCAATTGTTAGTTGATTTAAAAGAACCGTACAACATTTAACAAAAAGAGACTAGATCTACTTGGCCCCAATGATGATCTATTTGTTATTTGTACCATGTAAAATCTTGTATTGTAGTTATGGTTGCGTAGGCATGATGCTTCAAGACAACAACCAAAAATTTAAACTGATGATTGAGACTTGAAAATATGTTTTATACTCTATCAATTGTTAATTGATGTAAAAGAACCGTACAACATTTAACAAAAAGAGACTAGATCTACTTGGCCCCAATGATGATCTATTTGTTATTTGTACCATGTAAAATCTTGTATTGTAGTTGTGGTTGCGTCGGCATGATGCCCCAATACAACAATATTAATGTTAGAGAAAGATAATTCGTATTTCCCCGTTCTTATTTATTTTATCCGCGTTAACTTTTACAGTGTTCACCGGCTCTCCTTTGACTATCTTTTATGAAATATATGTAAGAAAAAATATATTCATGTGGATTTTGTAAGAACTATCTCAATTAATACAATCATAATATATACTCATTGACAAACAATTATAATGTTTACTTATGGAGAATATAAGTTATCAATAGTTAAAGCTTTCATTGGCAAGCATGATAAATTATACCAGTCAAGTAAAAAAAAAATGGAGGAATATTACTCATACGACATGCTTGGCCTAGTGTTAACTAATCGGCATTGACTTTAAATGAACTTAATTATAAAGTTATACTATTTTTGACCCTCTATTTTAGCCCCATTGTCATTTTTTAGGTCAAATTTTGTACATTTTGACCGTAAATTATTGTTAATCTATAAGAGATAATATAGTCATGAGTGTTCTTGTTAAATTTGACTCGTTGCATATTTTATTATTATCGTTTTTTTTAATAATTTTTTCAAATATGGAAATGAAAATATGTGCATTATAAGATGTGTCTTAGAGACTGTGAAAAGTTATATAGGGTAAAAAAATAAAGATTGAGGGAGTAATAATTAATGTATTGTATAAATTGAAATATTTAGTTAATTACGTAGCTGACAATGTTGACATTATAGTGATTATACCGTTGGCACAAGCCACAAACTAAAACTTAATTTTAATGCAACTCATCAAGTTACCCCAATTACCAGCCTCATTGGAGTTATAAAAAAAAAAAGCCTTATTCTCTAGATATTACACACAATATATATAATAATATATGTGTTACATTTCATTGACACTTATTAGAGCTACTACTAACAACATACACGATTATGAATCACATAATAATCTAATAATATAGAATTACAAACTTAATAAAAGACGTACATATAAATTGCACTAGATGCAAATTCAAATTAATTTATAGCTTCAAACCACAATCTTGAAATTTGTCCAAACAAATTTCTTCAAATTTCTCAGTCATCTCTTGAGTGAAATAATTAGCCCAATCACCAACCTCACCCTTTCGAAAAAAGGCCTTATTTTGTTCTCCTGAAGACAATTTCCCAACCTTATTAACCTCTAAATTGCTCAAATTATCAAAGCTACATAAACCAAGTATGTCATCAACAACCCCATTATTTTCCTCCTCTAAAGAAAAAGGACACTCCCAAAATTCAGCCAATTTTTTCAAATACAACTTAGGTTGTTCTTTTAACTCTTCATATTTCAAGAAAAACACATTATTATTGTTAGATTTATCTAAGCTACATTTCCAATAGCTCAAAACATGGTCCCAAAAGGGTCCATAAAGGCTAACACCTTTGCAATACTTGTCAAATGCCTCTTCTAGTTGTAGCTTACAACTATTTTGAGGTCTCAACTTGTTAGCAAAATGCCACAATGATATAAAGGCATCCTTTGGGTCCCTTGCTAGGTACACAACTTTGCATCCCGTCTCCTTGATGGATAACGGTAGCGATTCGACCGGTAAGTGTGTAGAAAACAGCCTAGGAGAGGGCAATTCTGTGAGGTCAGGGACTTGGTGATCAACATAAAGCTTAAGCTCTAAGAAAGGTACTAATTCATGAGGGTTGATTGAGAGAAGTGGATGGTTATCACCTCTAGGGAGATTGGTTTTTCGGTTTACGACAGCATATGCTAAGGCTTTGAGCCATGTAGTGCCACATTTAGGGCTAGTGATGAAGATGATATCGGTGTCGCGAGCTTGGAAGTGGCGTTGGCATGAAAGCACACCTTGAAGTTGCCTAATAGGGTGCCAAAACCCTTGGTATTGGTAAAGATAGGATAGAACCCATCCTTGATCTTTTGGTAATGTGGAGATTAAGGCTTGACATTCTTCTGTTATGTCATCTTCTTGTAAGTATTTGGCTAATTTTGGAGGAGATGGAGTTATTATTGGCTTTTTTAGATCATGAGAATTATGAGTAAGGGTTGATATTAGAGTGGTTGCCATCTGAAATTATGTTGGCCTTGGATGATTGAACACTTGCTATATTGTTACTATATATATAGAGGTTGGGTGCTACTTTAAATCTTTAATAACTATTCTATTTTTTTTATTTATTTATTTTTTTTAGAAGAATTGTACCATATATATTGTGTCTACTAAACAGTAAACACAACTTGATTGTTGGTTCCTTAAAAAAAAAGTAAATAAATTAAAAAACAAAAAGTGATTGGACTCCAAATTGTGTTTTACTACAAGACAAATCTATAATTAGGATAGGGATTTCATCGATTAGAAGGTAATAATTCATGACCATTTATCGAAGGGGATGGTAGGTTATGATATTAAGATAACCACCTAATTTAGTGAGTGCATACGTAATAGTGTAATACTTCCTCCGTTTTAGTAGTATTGCAATAAAGATAAAATTACGCATCTCAAAACACAATTAGAATATTTACACTTATATTGTTATTATATAATAGTTAAATTTCAAAAAATAGTGGATATTATGAAAGTATCTCACGAGACTCAAGTAACGAGACTCTACATGACTATAATTTTACTTAATGTATAATGATCATAATATATGGTCAAACAAGAGTGATGAACAGTGCGAATTAAAAACTCAATCAATCGTTGCAATGCAATATTACTAGAACGAGAGGAGAAAGTATTAATTTTGATATAAAAAATGTTATGTACTCCTGCCTAAAGTCAAAGAATTATAATGAATATTTGATTAAGAAGTGCATGCGTAGAAGATAATGTGGTCTTACTTCTTCACTAAAGGCACAATGCTTGATATTTAGCTATCTAGCAATCTTTCCTCTTTCAAAAGATAGCTTATTTGTAGTACAATTGTCCTTTGCAAAATTGCAACAATAACTTGGGAGGCTTCTGCTTCTACTTCATGGTGGTCCATACGATCATGGTATACACAACAATAAATTAAAGGACAATGTATGCACTATACACTTCGACTGAAAAGCAATTAATCACTATAATATATAATAATTCCAAAAATCAAATAGAGAATGAAAATAGTAAGTAATTGTCATATTGCATTTCCCTAGTGTTCAGTAATCTTGTTTTTTCTATCTGGAAATTTACTTGTATATAAGATGCTTGACAACATCGAAGTACTTCGTCGCATTTGGTTTGATGTCTATTCTCATGTTTTTGTTCTCCTTATTTCTACTTAAACTAGGGTCTGTTCTCATTGACTGAACTTAGCTAAACTGAACTGAGTTGAACTGAACTGAATCGAAATGAATATTTTATAAGAGAAGGAAATTAGGAGCTAAACTGAACTGAACTGAGCTAAACTAAACTGAGCTGAACTGAATTGAATTTCAATGTATGAGAACAAACCCTTATTATAGGTCTTTTTGGTCTCATCTAGCACAAGTGAATTGGTTCGAAAAAATCGTGCCAAGTTTTAGGGATATTTACTTTCAACCCGTAATGCCCTATAATCAGGGCTATTTCAAACTTTACGTAGGCCTCGTGCTATTTAAAAAATAGAAGGCCCCATGAGATACAATCATATAACATTTCTACGCCACGATTTTTAATTATGGACCTATGGTATTCAAAGTATTCAAAATCATAAAATCGAATATAATTTTTTAGTCTCAAAAGTTGACCAATCCCTTCTAAAACATGATTATATCATAGATTATTATATTTACCCTTGGGTGCACCGGTGCACTAGTTTATACCTTTTTTTTCTTCTTTTCATTTTGATAATAATTGCTCACATCATATCATATCATATAACTAATATATAAAGCTAAACTTTTAGCCAGGTCATAAGACAGTGACATTTGACATTCTAACATTTTGTCAAGTGTCGCGCCATGTTGGATAGATTTGGATAGACTTCATAGGATAAAAAAAAATAGTTTAAAATTTTATTATTTCAATTAAATTTGGATAGAGTGTTAGGATAAAATAATTAATTTAGAGTTTTATTTTCAATAAAAGACCAATCTTTCAGATGTACAAATTGAATTATAATCTTATTCAAAAAATATTATAGATTATAATTCTAAAAAATAATTATATAACTTTATTTTTAATATCATAATATTTTTTGGAGCAAAAGAAATATTTCAAAACATAAAACATCCAATCTAATACATATACTAATCGGTTAAAATAATATACTTCACAATCTAATACAATTTTATTATTATATAGACCTATATCGGACCGGGTCACAAAGGTTACGGCCAAGAAATGTTCAATCCTTATCTAAAGTTTTGGGTTCGGTCAACCCAAAGTCCCAAAAGGCTTTGAACATTGTTTTTATTAAATTTATGTTTTTTTTGTTAATTTTTAATTTTTCATTTCATGCCTATTAGATAGCAAATCGTCACAAAGGCACATCAACCGCTAACTTATTTTGTATCAATATATTTTAAAATTTAACAAATAGATTTAAAATACATCTTAAATATTACACAATAATAAACAATCCGGGTATCGCACAGGACACAAAACTAGTCAAATAATAAACAAAATAAAATAAAAATTCAATATTATAATCCCGGAATAATTTTCAGTACTATATTCCCTTTCCTGTCAAACAAAAATTTGATACAAAGTACAGAATATTCTTTTAATACAAGTAATTCCAAAATGTATGTACTGTCCCACTCAAAATATTTTACTCGTATTTGTAAAGAAATACGGAGTCCAATTGTCCAAAGTACGGTATTCATTGATATAAAACTCAAACACAAACATGAATATTGATTGGACATAATATCTGTAATAGCAGTTTAAATTAAACAAATTTATAAAGAGACAAACTAATACGTCACCACTTGAAACAAAATGAAGGCTAAACTTCTATAGTACAACTAAACTAACATATCCGAATGATGGAATGAAGAAAGATTGGTACATAGTTTGGTTTGGCATCTTCAATTTTTCGAGTCTTGTCTTAATCGCACACTCAACGAAAGAGCTTTACTAGCCACATTGTCCTTTTACACTCACGCAATAGTGCTGGATCACCCATTGTCCAAGATGCCTCTCAGTTGCACGCACCACATAGGAGTCTGGTCCGTGTTCCAATCCAATATGGCGCATTGTCACAAGACGAGTGCATATTGCCTGTGAGGCACCTGAATCACCTAGGCTCGTAGGGAGATTGCCTCATATGAGAATGATTGTGCCTGGACACTGAAGAAACGGTCCACACGTTACATCATACTCTAAATTCTACTTCGTATATCGATTGTTAACCTACCTAGCTAGTTAGTTCCTAAAAGAGATACTGGCATAATATTCTAATTTATGATACTGGCCTAATATTCTATTTTATGATTTGTGGTGAATCAAAAATTATAAAAGTACTTCTAATTTATTTATTTTTTGACGAAAAAATATTCTGTTACATTTTATAATAATATTCATCGATCAAATACGGTATACATAACAGTTTCCCTCATCAATAATATAGTACTACTGGACTAATGGCATCTATTGCTAATATTTCCGTACCTTATAAAAAGTAGAAAATAACTCTTAGGAATAGTGTGCTACCAACTATACCCTCAAAAATATGTAAAAAATTGTGTACAAAAATGTATATTTACTTTTTTACCCTCATTAATATGTTTACTCTCATTTAATATATTTAATTGGTTTTTTTTTTTCATTAAACATACCATCAATTAATAAAAAGTTTTTTTTTTACAAAAACTTATAATGCCTTTTTTTAAAATAAAATAATTATAATGTTTTGCACTTCATATGTTATTATTATGATTTAAAAAGGAAAAAAATTGTATGTACGAAGATTTTGTTTATTACCACGAGATGATTTATTTTTACTCCTCCGTGATTGCTCTTCTTATTTACAATTATGTTGTCCTTTAATTACAAATATTGTTAAGGTTTATTAGCTTTTCAATTGTACATTATTTGATGGCACGCACATAAAAAACGTGGAATTTAAATGACATTCATATTAAATAATGATATTCGAGCAGATGTTATCAAGAAGTATAAATAACTTTAAAATCCTAAAATCGAGAGACATCGATGATAGAAAAAAAAATGTATTAAATATGGAGTTAATTTAAGAGGAAAAATATAACTAAGTGGTTATTGCTTTAGTGTTAGATATAGATATAGATATTAGATGGTCGTAGAACATTGAACTTACATTATTAAGTGTATAGCTACAGCGAACATTTCACATATTATTACTCCGTATGACCAAGCTCAAAAAAAATTCGTTTGAATAAAAAATACGTTAAGTATTATTGAATCACACAAATCAATTAAGAGTTCTAAACTAGCTTAAGATATGAAGTGATGCAAATTAATTAAATATTATTCAATGATAATTTTGAAATAACACTGTCAAACTTTTGAGGGTTTTAAAAAATAATTGTCATTAAAGATTTTGGTGGCTTTTTTTATACTTCTACAAAACCACTATATAGGCACATAAACCAAATAGTACGTATTAAAACTACCAGGTCTACCACCCAAGCCAGAGGTGTAACTACGCGCTAATACAACTTCTATGCAAGAGCTAACTCTTTCGCGTGCATCGCGCGCGTAGGATACCCTAGTATAATAATAAAAAAAAAAAATTGAATACCTCAAGCCTCAACACATAAAAAGGTAAACTTTTGAACTAATAATTTTCCTTAAAATTACCTCTTATTTTCAGTTCTTCACAACTACCCACGTTTTTTGTGAGCAAATAATAGTAGTGGATACATATTATAATAAGAAAACCAATTTCGTCAAAATAAAAAGAAAAAGAAAAATAATACCCATGTATGTAAAGATATATAATCATATAACCACACATTATATACTCTTTGTTCATAACTAAGGAGTAAAAACCCTATAATGAGATATCTTCCATATATCTTATATACATATTTTCGTCTTTATTGGTTGATTTTAAATTTGCACATAACACTATTAATAGAGCCATATAAGTTTTCTATAGTGCACACACACATTGGGTGTGTTTCCTACCTTGTAAAAATAGAGTGAAAGAGGTTTTTTTTTTTTTTTTAACATCAGCATAACACAAAATAAATTACAAGTCTAAAGTAAAGCTAATTAAACTAGTCCTGCTGTTGTTGGTCAGAAAATGTGCTCGTTGAACCATATCCCTATCAACTTTCAAAATGTTACAGCACCGAAAATTTAGTCCCAAATTTTTAATATCCT